ACATTACGCAATCCCGCCCTCTTTGCCGCACACCCGCCAGGTCGAGTCCATCATCTTGTCGATCATTTCGATGCTGTCGTCCCCCAACGACGAGTCCCCGGCCAACGTGGACGCCGCGAAGCAGTGGCGCGAGGACCGGGACGGCTTCAAAAAGAAGGTCACCCGCATCGTGCGCAAGAGCCAGGAGATGCTCTGACGCGGGCCGCGGCCTGACGGGGCCCAGACGGTGCGGGCCCCCGCCGGAGGCTTGGACGAGGACGGGGCGATTCATGCTAAGGAGGGCAGCGGCAGCGCGCGCGGCATGGGGCGCGCGGGTAGTCCAGACAGCCGCCCTGGATTTGGGCAAGAAGCATGCCCTGATCCAGCTGGCGGCCTTCATACCTTGTGGGTGACATGTCTGTGCAGCAGGCGCGCTGTGGTAGTGTAGGTGCGGGCCGTCAGTGCGCCTGCTGGGCCATCAACCCCTGTTTATGAGAGACCTGGTCGTCTGTCCATCTTCCTGCCAACGTCACTTTTAATGTTCGCTCGGCAGTTTTTCTTTTCGCTTGCTTGTCTTTTGTCTTGGCGGTGTAGGTGTTGCGTTGTGTTTGTGCGTGTCCATGTTATGCATGCGTTTGTTTGTCTCATGCACCTGTTTGATTTCGTCGTCTTGCCTGCATTTCATATCGCTGACCCCTACTTTTCGCTGTGCTGGCTGCCTCAGCGCCACCAGCCAGCCAGCTAGCCAGCCAGCCACGCAGCTCCTCCCTGATTCTCTGACAGGCCTGCAGCCTGCCCGCTAGCCGGGCAAGCGCATTAGCGGCAGCGGCAGCGGGCCCGGCTCGCGCAGTTGTGGCGCATGTAATGGCTGCATCGCGCAGTCCTAGTCGGCAGGAGCTTGCGGCCTTGCCTGGCATGTAAAATGAATCCAGAACTCCGCGCACTTGTTTGCTGAATTCGCAAGGGCCTTGGGGCTAGCCGCTCAAGAGCAGTGTGCAGGTGATGCTGCCATAATTGGCGCAGCGCGCGGGGCAGCTGAGCGCCGCGCACGCGCCACATTTCGTCCTTGTTCGCCGCAGCGGCCCCTAGGGTTAGTTGTGGCCCCGCTGCACCGCCCTGGCACGGCCGCGGCCCACGTTCCACGCCACGGCGGCGCGCCTGCGACCACGTGCGCTGCAGCAGGATGGACAGTGCTGGTGGTTCGCGGGTTTGCACAGTGCCTCCACCTCACTACCCCCCCCCCCTGGTGGAGTGGTGCACGTGACCACCCTGTCGCCCACTCAAGTGAGAAGTATCCTCGTGTCAGTACCGGCCAAGCAGATAGTCCCCATGAACCAGACCTACACTGCCAAGGGCGTGCCTGACATGGCACAAATCCATGCTGCAAAGGGGGCTGCGGACTGTGTCATGCCCGCCTGCAGTCCGTGTGTGCAAAGCGTGGAAAACACTGCCTGCATGCTGCCACAGCTTTTACTGTCGCAGAGCACATGGGATTAGATAGAAAGATGCCCCTAGGCTGGGCATGGGGGCGACATCGGCCGGCGCAGGGGCTGCCCCGTGCGGAGCTGGGGCTGCATTTCGGCTCTGGCGTGGAAGCCAGAGAATCAGATAATGCCCATCGACAGATTATTTCACGTGATACAATACTAGTACAATTATACATTCGTACGTCTCACCGGTGGACTGGTTACTCCCTTGCCAAAGCAGTCCAGCGAAGCTGACAGCACCCGACCCGAGCGACCCTCCCAGGGCCGAATCTCCAGTGAGATCGGACAGACACGCTCTAAGCGCAATTAAACATCTCACGACACAGGTGAGGTGCCCGTATAGTCTTCACGGGGCCAAACCGCTCGTGCGTGGTGCCCGGCCTCTTTCGTTGTCAGCCTGGTGCTGCATGCGTGCTGTCTCTGAGCAGTTGAAGATCACGCAGATTTGCGCGCAGCCGAGGTTGAAGCAGTCGCACCCGTCCCTACTGCACTGCTCTGCAGGTGCTGTGCACACGAGCGCTACTCGGCCACGTCAGCAGCAAGCATGACATCCATCAAGACCCTGCTGGTGAGTGCCACGAACGCACAGGAAGGGCATGGAGACTCCCTACGCTTGCACATGTACAGTTGGTAGCGCTGCGATCGCTGCCGGTCCAACCAACGCTGCGCTGCTGCACCCACCAATTCATGCATCCGTCGCCCTCACCCAACCGCAGGCCATTTTGCACCTGGCCACCCTGTCCGATGCCGTCAAGCGTGTCGCCACCCCCAAGGCCACCACCTCCGAGACCACCACCAAGACCAAGGGCAATGCCGCCACAGCCGGCGCGCCCACTGCGGCCGCCGCGCCCCCATCGCCCCTCCCCTGTTCCCCAGAGCGCACGTCAACCAAAGCCTCCACCCCTGACCACGTCCCGCACGCCGCCGCCGCTGACGCACTCACGGCCTGCCAGGCTGGCTGGTTTGTGCGCGCGGCCTCCGCGAAGGACAAGTGGCGCGCCATGACAGCCGCCGCCGCGTCCAAGACCCCTGCTGCACTGAACAAGCATTCGCCTGCTGCGCCGCGCTCGGCCAGTGCCTCGTCCACTTCCAAAAAGAGCAACGCCGCCAAGGCCGAAGCCGCCGCCCCTAGTGATGACGCCTCCGCTGTCAAGGCCTCCCAAAACACGAGTTGGCTTGCGACCGCACTCACTGCCGCTCAGGCCAAATGCGGCGCCGCGTGCGACTCTGTTACGAACTCGTGGCGCGCTACCGCCGCCAAGGCGTCTGCCGCGCTCACCCCTAGGGGCAAGGCAGCCCTGAAGAAGGGCCGCAGCGGCAAGCCCGATGCCACGGCCGCCCCTGTGCCCGCTGGTGCCGCGCTCCCTGTGCCTGCGGCCGGCATTGACGTAGCCAGCAGCCCCATGCCCGCCGCCTGCACCGATGCCGCAGTGGTCGTCAGCATTGTCGCCCCCCTCGCCCCCACGCCTAGTTCTGAGACCGGCGCTGCCGCCGCGCCCAAATGGAAGAAGAACTTTGGCGACAGGTTCAGGGCCGCCCTGCCGCACGCCCGCAGCAGCAGACGCACCCCGGCCTCCTGCCCCACGGGCCGCATTGAGGCGCGCACCGCCCCCACGGCCAAGCCCTGCTGCAACGCCGAAGCCGCTGCCGCCGCCGCCGCCCGCAAGCGGCTCATCGGGGCCACATTTGCCGCCAAGCTCGGCCGCCTCTCATTGCGCCGCAGCCCCCCTGACCAGGCGGCGTCGGCAGTGGCGGGGGTTGTTGGGGGCAAGGCGGCAGTCGCCTGCTAGCTGCATAAAGAGGCTTTCCCCCCTGCAGTGCGCTTGACTTGCACTCCCGCTACAAATGGCTCTCTGTTGGCACGACTTCATTTGTTCCCGCCTTTGGTCTGCGCCCCCTTTCATGATTGGCTGACATACGCACTGTTGTGCGGCCAGCAGCCATGAGCTTCGCCAACTGCCCTTGTGGCCCCTGCCCAGGGACAAGGCACGCGCACACGTGTGACTCTTTTCGACCGCCTTGGTTGCGGATGGCCCCACCTCCAACGGGCATCCCATCACACACGACTCTCCACCACCCATCCCGCATGCCAAACCGCCGGCGTGGGCTGCGTGTCCCCTTGTATCGCGCCACACCCTTTCTCACGCACCCGGAATGTAACCGCATGTATCTGCCCCCGTGGCCCCCGCGTGTAACCCCTGGACTTGATCTGCTGAGAACCGTCGGTTGATTACACCGCCAACGCGTCTGCAGCACGGCTGAACACTGGCACTTAGCGTGCGCCATGTTGCAAACGGGGCGACCGGGCAAACCGGGTGCGGCAGGGGACGGCCCTTTATCGACACAAGCATGCCACGCCGACCCGCGGCAGCCGCCGGGCCGGCACGGGCGGCGGCCGCCGCAGCCCGCGGCAGGCGGCATGGCTTGGGCGCTAGGCTCGTCGCAGGCCGAGGGCTAGCGTGGAGAAGCCAAAGCAATGACACCCTGCAGCCGCGGCGCGCTGACCCTACTGCCAGGGGCGCCGCCAGAGCACACGAGAGGCGGCGCGCCGAAAACTCAACACTGCAAAAGCGCGTCCAAACGGCGGGGGTCAGTCCCTGGTAGTGTGACCACGCGAACGCTTGACGGGTGCGCAACAAAGTATAAAAAAATGCCCAAAAACGGCTTAGACGGGTGCAGCGGTGTGGCCCGCTGGCCGCGGCCCCTCTGCCGCGCCCCGCCAATCAATGATTTCGTGAAACCCCAAAGTCAAACAAGGTGGGGGCGCCCGGCTGGCGGCGTTCGCAGGCGCCAGCCGCCGGCATTGGAGGCAGCAGGGCCGGAGCCGCGGAGCGGCGCGCTCGCGCCGTGGATGCCACGGGGCTGCGGGTTCCCCGCACGGCGCTGGTTTAGCCCTCCCCCCCAAAAGTGGGATGGATATCCTGTACAAGTTGAGAGCCTGTGGCCGATAGACGGGCCAGCTTCTGCGCCCCGCGAACGGCCCGCGCCTCGTCGATTTGCAGCCCTTGATTGCAGGCAGCGGCGGCGGCGGCGGCGAGCACGGGTGCGGCTGGCGGCCTGCTGGGGCCGCCCTCAGCAGCCGTTTGCATTGTGTGCGCCGGCCCCTGCCTCCATGGATTGGCAGCCGGACAGCCGGCCGCGCAGCCCCCCAGCTATTTGGTTTGAGATGTGTCTTCACAAAACGCGGGCAACAGGGGACGTGGTAGCGTAGAGTGATTTGGCAAGTGGGCAGGCAAACTGATACTGGCGCCAGTGTGTGCGTTCAAGTGCGTGTAAGCGTGTGCAAGTGTGGTGTCGCGTGCGTGCGGGAGCGGGCACCCCTGCCACGGGGCCGACGATGGGGGGCGTCGCGCGCGCAGCCGGCGCGGCGGGGCCTCGAATTGGTGTAATTCTGCAGGCAAGTCGGGCCGGGGGGCGATATCTATGCGCACAATGCAATTGACAGGGCCCGTGCGCTGCCGCGCCGGGAGGCCCCGCCGCGGAGCGTCGCCGGCGCGGCAGGCGGTTTGGGACAAAGAAAAGTGACCAAGGCGGGTCGGGGCGATGCTGGGGCGGCGGCAAGCAAGTGGTGTGCCCGGCGGCAGGGGGGTGCCGCCGGCCGGCCTGGGGGCGCCTGCGGAGCGGCAGCTTGGGTTGGCGCCCTCTCGGTGCCTGCCGCCCAACCCGCGGCCTAACTCACCGCGTGTGCTGATAGTATATAATGTTATAACAACCGAGATGAAACCAAACCAAATCAGAGGTCCTGAATAAACCTGGAGCCCTCGCACGCGCGCGGCCCCGCCCTGCCCGCGCGCGCCC